ATACGGCACAAAAATGGTGTATCGCTTCGACCAGTATAAGATATGTTGAATTCACCATACCATCCCGTAGCCAAATAATTACTCGAACTCTTACAGCTTCTTCATACCGAGTTGGTGAAATATAGTGTAAAGGATACTTTTGGATATGTTGAAAGGATATAAGAATTTAAGGTTGACAATAGATTCGTGATATCATTTGACGTATCTTACTGATTCACCTATTTGTGTACCACTTATGCGAAGAACTCATAAGACGAAAAAACATCGATGTTGGCATCCCTGTATCTTTTATAAAAGAGCTTTTGAAATCCATAGTGAATGTCCACTTTTTATTGAATAAGGAACCATACAGAAATATTGATGGTATGGTAATGGGGTAACCACTGGAACCCATTCTAACCGACATTTTCCTTGCGAAACTAGAAAATGGGCCTTTGAAAGATGTTATTGATGAACTTGAATTCTGTTGTCGGTACATGGATGATGCATTTTTGATTATGAAAAATGAAGAGGAAGCAAAGACCATCCTGGATAAATTTAACGAGGTTCATCCTACAATAAACTTTTCTAGTGAGAAAGAAAAGGACTCATTTTTAGACGTCCTTATGACCAGAAAAGAGGATGGCACAATAAGAAGAAGCGTATATAGAAAAGCTACACCAACGGGTTAGGATACTCATTTTTTAAGCTTCGTGCCCTTAAAATACAAACGCAGTCTGATAAAGTGCTTGGTTCATAGAGCAAGAGCAATCTGCTCGGATAAATATCTTGATGAGGAACTTAATAATACTAAACGGTTGCTGAGCGAAAACAGTTATCCAGAAAAGTTTATTGACGAGAATATGAATCTAAAATTGAAGCAGTCCAAGGTACCATCAGTTCCTAAAATGGCCTTATTCTTACAAATTCAGTTCTTCGGGGACAACACCCAGCGAGATACTAACACAATGCATTAGAAATGTGGTAAAAAGAGCATTCCCTGTTGTTGAATTACTCTGTGTCTTCAAAGCCACTCCTTTTTTGCGTTTGGGAGTATAAGATAAACCGCCTAATTTTGCCTCTTCCATGTGTATCTACCAATTTAACTGCTCCTGTGGAGCCAGCTACATAGGCCGAACAGTTAGGCGCGTTTCTTGTCGGATTTCCGAACATCACCCTGTGTGGTTAAGTAAAGGGCAAACAAAATCCATTTGTAGCGCTATTCTATCTCATCTTGTGGATACAGAACACAAGATTGATGTTAACCAGGCTTTCAGAGTGATTTACCGCATACCAACAAATCTTCATTTCGCCTTAAGAGTTCGATTACTAGATATTGCTGAGGCTGTTGGGATCCATATTAACAAGCCTAATTTATGGATCCAAAAGAAGTTAGTGCAGACGTTATCATTACCTTGACCATCTAGGTTTGAATAATTCTGAATTTTTGTGGGATTTCCCTAATTTTAGTTGGTACTTTATATATCTTTATATCTTTATTATTATTATTATTGTTTAAGCATCTTTAATGAACTGTAATTGCATTGATCATATTTTACAAATCGATATTATTTAATATTGTTTTGATTTGACACTAGTAACTAGTGTGATGCGTCTAGTCCTCTGATTGGTGTAGACTGAATTCTATCAGTCAGGTTGTAATGTGACCACCATTCTAGCTAACTGGCCATCACGGTGCACATTGATTTGATGGTGTTAGATGGTTGGAGGCAATCGGCAGGAAGCCTTGGACCTAGGTTTCGTGCTAGTCGGCACTCAGTGGTAACGTCTCTGACTGCAGCACTGGGTGACGCGGGTTCGAATCTCAGAAGGGAGAAGAGTTCCTTCAAGGTTGCAGATACGCCTTGCTGACTGGTGAGTGGCAACTAGCACGAAACCTAGGTCCAAGGCTTCCTACCGATTGCCTCCAACCATCTAACACCATCAAATTTAATATTGTTATTGACTACTAATCTAGAATATTTCGTGTATATAAACATATATATAATTGTAGAGCCGGAAGAGGAATTTATCGAAAAGAATATTCTTTGCTCGATTATATTGTGTTATATAGATGTCTGAATGAATATTTTTGCTATATTATAATTTAAGCATCCTTAATGAACTGTAATAGCATTGATCTTAATTTACAAATCGATATTTTTTAAAAGAATGGATACTGAACAAAGAGTACTCTTTTTGATAGCTTCATCATCAGGCTCTGCAGTTATATATGCATTATAGTGAATGAATGAGTTAGTGTTATGAACAACATTAATGTTTAAATAACATCGAATCAATAATATTGATAGATTGTAGCTAAATAACATCAACATAAAATAAGCTGAATGTCAGAAAAATTAGGAAAGATAATATTACAAATTCATGAATTTATAGTCTCTACTGAAGGGCATGGCAGTAGTAGGGGGTGGATTTGCTTCTTTTGCACACAGAGCACTGATTGTTCGAGGCGAATTGCGATAGCCTCTGCTGTTTGGAGCCTGCGGTGCTTCGATGATTTTGGCAATTTATTTGGCACGCGGTATAATATAGAGAAGGATTCATCAACGCTGGCTTTGTGGCCGGTTTGCACCAGATGGTCCAATATCGAACTGTCAATGGTTTTAACTACACCTTTACTTAGCCATAGTGGGAGATTTTCCTGAGCTAGTACAGAAAATCAAGTTCCTAGAGCAATATAGAGCCAATATAACTCGCTCCACAAGCGCAGTTGAATTGGTAGATACAATTTGAAGTGGCCAGCTAGTCTAGGTACTTCATCTTTCAGTTGAGGTAGCACCATTGGTTGTGTAGAGAATAATACGTGTAGTTCGCCAGCATTAAAAGTTCTTTGAAGTGATTTTCTTAATTTCCTCGTAATTATCTCACTTGGTATATCGCCCTTGAATTGTAGTCGTATATAAAGTGGCTTCTTGTTTACAGATAGTGAGTAGTCCTTTTCCGCTTTCTTTGTCATGTGTTTCTTGATACATTTTTCGGGATAACTATTTTCGATCAAAGTATCATGTGCAATGCCTAATTCATCTTCAATTACTTCTTCTGAGCAAATAGCCCTAACTCTGTGGCTAAGGATCTTCACTAAATTTCTCTTGTACCTGATAGGATTGAAGCTGTGAAAATGTCTATATCGTCATGTCCAAGTACTTTTTCTACGCTAATTTTATTTTTATGCTATCATCTGGTTTTCTCGTAAGGAGGACATCCGGGAAGGCAATTCTGTCTTGGGATTTCTCTTCGCATGTGAATTTCATAGCCGAATGTACTTCATTGAATTCAGTAATTATTGTACTTTTATCAGAACCATTATCGCAAAGAATGAAGATGTCATCCATATATCGGCAATAAAATGAGAGCTTACTGATAAGGTTGTTCAAAGGTTCATTTTATAGCTTACTTAAAAAGAAATCAGCCAGAATGGGACCAGTGTTATTTAAAAAACACTAATATTGTTATTGACTACTATTCTAGAATATATATATATATATATATATATATATATATATATATATATAATTATAGAGCCAGAAGAGGAAATTATTGAAAAGGATATTCTTTGCTTAATTATTTTGTGTTTTATAGATATCTGAATGAATATTTTCGCTATACTGACATCTAAAATTGACAGCAATACTCATCCTGTAGAGGCCTTGCATCGCATACAGTCACCTGTAGAAGGACTAGTGATATCTGTTGATAGCTTTCAGCCAAAGACCAGTAAATGCTATTGAATTTCTGCAGCTTGATCCGACCTGATAAATACAATAAAAATGATCTCTAGCGACTGCGAACATGAAGTTTTCGACTTTCGGTTCGATCCATGTGAAGTGATAAAACCACTTGCTTGGAATCCATGAGACGCAAATAACCAATGATTGAAGGCTATAAGTAATGGGACTCAAAATCACTCTCAATGTCACAGGTGTATTCACCCTTTATCTGTAATATTCTCTCCCTTTCACTTTTATCTATTCTAGTTTCAGTGCATTTCCTCTACCTTCGTGTGGTCTTGTTTTAGGGCGTGGTAACTGGAAGTGCTACACTTTTGTGCACAGCTGAGTTCATATCCAACTAAGTGACACTTTTTGACAAACATTCGAATTTGTGCAAGCAGTCGACTGTGGTCATATTGTTGAATACTGAAGTACCTTATGTTTTTTCTGGAAAAACTAGAAGTGATTTTTCAAAGGACTCATGCTTGGACTGCTAAATGCATAGTACCAACCCTACCCTATAAGGCTTAAATGTGTTACGAAAGAATAATTACAAAAGGATTAGCAATCCTACTTTTTAACGAGTAAATGAACAGTTATTATTTCCCAGAAATTACACTAGACAAGCCCTCGAGTGGAACCCGAAGGGAAGCGGCGAGTTGGTCGTCAGTGCAAGGGTGACTTGGAGGAGATCATGTGAAAAGGAGATGAAAGCATGTGGGCAGACTTGGAGCGGGGTGAAAAAGTTGGCAGGAAACTGAAGGCAATGGAGACGCGCGGCTGAAGCCCTATGTTCCTCTATGAATTAAAGGATATGATAATAATAATAATACACGTGTTTCGTAATTATCTGCCTTAATGTTTAATTTGACTTAAGTTATATCTGGTTATAATTTTTCGGATTTTACTTGTATATGAAGTAATGTAAAGCAGTATAAAGTACTGAAAATTTCACATTGCATGAAAAATATTGTTTGACATTATGCGATTTTTATTATGATTATTATTTAAGCATCCTGTGACTGTACTGTTTTCATTCATTTTGTCACTTACTTACTTCAAGTAAAAACATGGTGAATGGCAAGCTGGGCTACCTTTATTCTCTGTAGAGGTTTACTTAAAACTAATTATTCTTCCTTCAGATTTTCAAATCTTTATATTACGTAGTGGCATGAACCAAGAAATTATCCCAACAACTCAACAGAATGGGAATTAAGGCTATATAGAAAAAATTGTAGTTATTCAGCCATATTAGTTTATTCCAAAAAAATCAAGTATGAAATTTTGGTTTCAGGTCACAGGATTTAGTCTGAGGGAATCTCGAATACTGTTAATGCGTTGATCAAGAAGAGCCAGGTTGTTTTGAAACTCCAACTCATCAACAGCATGTAAAGAAGAAATGCTGGAAGATGCACTGGGAAGTGAGAAATGTTTGTAGTCTGACCGTTCTGTAGTGTCCTGATGATCGATTTCTGATTTTCTTATCTGTGAAATAGAAAAGCATAATTGTGTTATAGTTTTTTGAAAATATATGTGTTTTGACAGTCTATAATCATCAGCTTTCAGCCCGAAATGTTTGAGATATGATGAAGGAAGTAATTCCCACTACACCTTTGCCTATTTATTGTGGATTAAATCAGCGTTTTTACAGATAATTAACATAGACTCATCAAATATTCATTAATAATGGGTGTTTATTTAGCAGTTTACATTATTAAATAGAAAGTATAGCAACACGAACCGTAGACATTTTGTACGGAGTTCTGTGTTGGTATTTTGGTTTATCACTGACGAACACTAGAATGCTCACCTATGCTGAGTACTAAGTGTTTCTCACTACTGTACTGCAGTCAACAACTTCATGAAGGTCTGTCTACAAAGTTATGAGGCGTTTAGGGTGTGCATAGATTTTTTTATATGATGTGAAGCAGATTTTAACACTTGAACAGAAGATGAAAAATTCATAGAAGGAGCTAATTGCCTAAAAGGCTGTTAGAAGAATGCGTAAAACAATTTGTCATAGCCCTATTTCAGCTGCACTAACTAGTTTATTTTTAAAATGGTTGTTATTGATCAACAGGAAAACCACATCCAAAAAGACCGAGTAAGCTCTGTGCCATGATGTGAGTGCATTAATTATATCTCATCTTTTTGGACGATTCTGGAGTACAGGCATACCTAACCATGTCCAACACTAGCCATTTTTCTAGACCTGTAGGCTACATTCCGGGTCCGTCGGTGATGTCTGATGTCACCATTCCTATTTAATTACATCACAGATGCATTGATGTTAGTGACATTGATCGATTTAAGCGTCCCAGGAATCCACTTGTCACCGGTAACAGTCTTGTCGACATAACATCCTAGTTGAAGATGCTGACAGAATGCAGTCTTTGAACACCTAGGGCGTTATTTCTGGCATGCAATATACTGATGGTCTGGTTTACACTGGCTCCTAGTTTAAAGATGGGGAGTGAAATGGTTGGCCGTGCTGACTAGTTCACTTATTTATTTTTAAAACTGTGGTTGTATATGATTCCATACTTATTTGTTTACATTGAAGCTGACAACATGCTCTATTCTCAACTGGTCACGTATGCAAGTAATAACCCGACCCAACGTTGTCCAACTTGGATGGTGGGACGAGGATCGATGTTTTCAGTATAGTCTTGTCACCAACAAATTAATATGGATAAGTTCACTTGTTTGGTAGTACCCACAGCCTTAATGCGCTAATTGTTGGCGAAATGCCGACACAAAAGGGAAAGGCTTGTGTGGTATTTTTCACCTTGAGACGACTTCAGCGCCGGTTAACTTCATCTGTGAGATAAATGGCATCATCCATGAAAAACATTATTTAATTCACAGTAAACCTTCTCATTTTTCTCTCAGTCACAAGAATAAACTCCGAGTCAACGGACATGATTTTTATCCGCTTATTTCAACTACGAACACCTTTTAGTCTGCTTAGATGAATCGACAATCAACAGGCATAATGAAATATATTAGGCTTATCATTTGATGCATATGGCTACGAGGATAGAATCTAAAATTAACGGTGGTAACTGTGTAGAGGAAGCCTGATAAAATACACAGTCTCCTGTGGGAAAACGCTGGCAACAGTTTATAATGTACAGACAAAGCTTAATGAAATCTGTTTTGATTCCAAAACACATGCAGGATGATCCCAGTGGAGTACGCAATTAGCAAAGGGAAAAGATGACTAAGTTTTCGTGACGGGCAGTGGCCCGTGATAAAAACTGAAGAATGAAGGTATCCCTTTTCGGGACTGACCGCAGAAGCTACGGTACACCTAATTAGTTTGTTAGTTTGAAGAAAACAAGAACTTTTACGTTTACAGAAAAAGGAGGTAATTTTTATTTCACAACTTTTCTTTAGCTGGAAATGTATTTGTTCCTGCTTTGTTGAAAGCTGTGGTAATTGTTTTTTGTATAGGCATGGTAACGAGAAATCAGGTAGGAAAAATAAAACATTGAGCAAGACACTTCGAGGAACAGTTCGTTTCGCCAAAGCTGACTGATACACAGGGATCGCCATTTAAACTTTAAGCGAGGCTGCAAAACGTGACTTTGGTCTATAAGGAGGCAAATCAGTAGGACCTGATAGTTTGAATGTTTTTATTCCTTTGTGTTCCCAAGCTAGACGCTTGAAGTTTCGATGGCAGTGGTGTTTGCTTTTACGGGAGGGGGTTGCTAGCATCATGCCCAACCTCCTCTCTTTAACAGTCTTACTACCGGCTTGGCGAGGTACAGGAGTGCGTCAACTGGGGATCGAATCCTGGACTACATGAGTGGTTGGCGAGCATTCTGCCGCCATGGGACCGACGCATGATAGTATAAATTTAAAGATTTTAGGTGTGAACTACTGAATTCATCTAATTACGTGCTAGTTAATTTATGCATATATTTTAGTCACACTAGTATAGATTTTTGGCCATTTCAATTCATAAGAAAGAATATATAACTGATAGTAATTACTACAGTTTCATCAGATATACTGATATAGTTTGTAAGATTTTAGACCACATAATAGTGGGGGAAACTGGACAGATTTCAGACCTGACATGAACGAGCATTTTTTTCGTCTTTACCCTTTGACAGGTTCATGAACACAAGTATTTAGACGTCTGGAGACTGGTATATTTCTTGAAGGCTTTCTCAGTGATTAATGTAGGCTGGCTTCAGATTACGTGAGATAAGAGTCATATGTAGTCATACCAAAATAAGGCATAGCTCTGTGAAGAAAATGACTATTTATCTAAGTCACGTAGGTTCGAATATGTTGTTAGGACTAAATGCTCAAGATGCGATGGATCAGTTATTGAAAACTCTTGGTGTGGTTACTAAATGACATTCAATGCAGAGCAGAAGAATTTACTCATGATTTTTGAAATCGTGAATGTCTTTTTCGTTAGATGTTTTCACTATTACACTCATATTAACCAATCACTGTATAATTGTATTTTTATTGTAACCTTTTATTTTATGTATACAAATCTGTGCAATGTTGTGGACTGATTTGTTTATTTTCAAAATTATTTTTTTAATGGATGGGTTCTACCGTTGTTTAGTTATAACAGTAATTCACACAGATAAGTGAAATTTGAACTGAAACGCATCACTATTACAGACAATCTTACAATGTCTTTGAAGAAGAATCCTTTAGGGTTGTGTAGAAAACTGCTATTTTAGACGAAGATAGTTCATGATGAAAGACATACTTTTTGGACTACTATTCATCATGCTCTCAAATAAACTTTGTGCATTAGACATTAGCGAAACCGATAGTCGAAAAATATTTAATTTAAATATTGTGTAAGTTGTGTCCCCATTATTATTATTATATTTCCTATGGATTCCGAGTGGAACATAGGGCTTCAACAACACATATCCATTTTCTTCGATTCTTTCACCGTGCTCTTCAGCTGGAACCACGATTGACCATAATCTCTCATCTCCTCCTTGCCACACGATCTCCACCATATCACCCTAGGACGACCCACTCGTCGCTTCCCATTCGGATTCCACTCGAGTTATTGCTTGGCTGGCGCGAGATGTCATTCGACGGCCTCCCCAGTGTGTTCCCTATTAATCAATCTCCATTTTCTCCTTCATATTTGTTGATCAATCGGCTCTTGGTTGGTTTGCTCCCATTTAGACTTTCTTGTTACAGATTCTTTGTGACCGGCCATCTGATATTCAGTATGGACCCAGAGAAGGCAGCTGTTGATGAAAGTTTGCAACAGGCTGTTGGAAATCCCTTTCGTGACACGCTCACTGGCCAAGTTTCTGACACATACAGAAGAAATGACATCACATTGGTGTTGAAAATCAGAATCTTGCTGTTTATACTGAGGCGGAGTGCAGAAGATTTCCAAACTGGATTCAGGTTGATGAAGGCGTATCTCGGATTTCCTATTCTCGCCTACCTTGATATCTCCATCCGTCCCGACTGCCTGTTGTTGACACGATGCTTCCTAGATAAGTAGAGGCAGGAAGTAACTAACCTCTGTTGGATCTCTACCGTTGATGGTGATTGGTCCTCGTTGTTGTTGTTGTTGTTGCTGAGGCGGTTCGTTGGTTATCTTCATCACCTGTGTCTTCTCTATGTTCACCTGGATGGAGTCCTGCCTTTTGTGGCTGCTTCTCCAGCCAGTTTGTTGGTTTTCACCCACAAGTCTTCGAGTCTGTGTGACATTAAACATAAATCATACGAGAAATCCAGATCTTCTAGAGTCCTCCTATCTGTGGTTCAACGTATTGCTGTCTTCTCAATCCCCTCTCACAGCCTGACGCATAATCCATAATCCACCACAATTAGAAAATATCACCGGTGATAATAAATAAATAGCCCTGTGTTATACCTGTGTGCACTTTGAACGCCTCGCTGAGCTTTCCCTTGTGGATCGCATCACTGATACGTGGGACTGTCATATAGCCAGCTATTGAATGAGGTTGACAAAGACTTGTGCACTACACGCCATAGTGGTGAAGTAGTTTCCAAATCACTTCTCGGTCAACTCTGTATGTTGAAGGCCATTTGGGAGTCGATGAGGTTGAGGTAGGGAGACAGGTTTGACTGACATTCTATGCTTTGTTCTGTGATGATGATGATTATGACACGTAGAGTTGCCATTCGCTTACCACATTACTTGCTTTTCGTGAATTCTGTTTGTTCCAGTCGAAGTTCTGCATCCAATGCATCTTTCATTCCCTCCAGGGTGATGCCGCTTAGTATTTTGCTTGGTGTGGACAATAACATGATTCCACGCCAATTCTTGCAGAAGCCTTACTAGGTTGTGCTGCTCTGGTAGCTTGACATTGTAACCAGGCTTTATTCCAATCAGCAGGTGACTTTGCTTATTTCCAAACATTTTGCAATAATTGCGTGAGCCCATCCACCGAAGTCTCTGGGCCCATTTTCAGTGCTTCAAGGGCAGGGGAAATTCCGTCTGGTCCTGCTGCCTTCCCTACTGGACTTCAATAGCCTGATCACATTCAGGATTTCTGCTTTCGTTTGAGGATCGGTGTCCACTGGCAGGCAGTTCTTTGAGCGCTTTCTGGTCGAGTTTTATTTGAAGAGGGTCGATTCACGAGTCATTTGAAGTGATCAGCCCATTGTTTGATTTTTTTCTCCTCCTTGGTAATCAGGTTCTCTTCGATATCTTTTATTCGTTTCACCATCTGTGTGGATCTCTTCCCGGATAGAGACGTGGCTATGTCATATGATGTCCCGAGGTCTCTTAACTGTGGCCTGCCTGTTCTGCTTCAGTTGCCAGCCAGTGTGTCATGGAATTGTCTTTTGTCTCTTCTAGCACTCCTCGTCACTTCTTTATTCAGTGCAGTGTACAATGAACTCAGCTTCTCCTTCTGTTGTCCATCTTTGGATTGAGTCATCTTCTCTCTCACCATCCTCCTCTCCTTTCTACTATTAGCTTCCAGGTGTCCGTTCAGAACTATTTCTTGTCGTGTCTCTTCTTTCTTCCTAGAACAGTTGTACACGTTTCCTTGAACATAGTTGCGGAGAGTTAGTTCCAGTGTTCTTCCACGCGTGTTTCTTCAGTGATGCCACGTAGTGTCTTCGACTTTGTTCTGACCTGATCTGTAGTGAAGGCATCACTTGTAGTTTTGTCCTTCACTTTCTGAATGTTGAACGTGAATTACAGTGGCCTATGTCCAGTTCTTCTGAAGGATTTCAGCTTCACCTTGAAGGTTCCTTAGACTAGATGATGGTCTGAGTGAGCCCACATCTGTTCCGCTTTCTCGACTTTGTACCCACCAGACTAGTTGTGTCTCCTCTTCGTAGAATACTATTGAGATGAAGTCTATCTGATTTGTGGTGTGTCCATCATGTGAAATCCATGTTTCTTTGTGTGTGTCCTCGTATTTATACAGGCTGAATCCGGTCAAAAAATAGTTGGAAGCACAAAAGTCTACGAATAATTCTCCTTTCCAAATCATTTCTCCGAACGAGTGCCTCTTGACACATGATGAGGTCTTTTCCCCTATTGTCTGCTTCAAGTTCAGCTGTCATTGATATTTCCCATGAGGATTTTGATGTCACCATTCAGGATAATGTCCATTACTGTTTGTACTTGTGCGTGTCTGTGAAAGTCTTCCTTCGTCTCTTGTTCCGGGTTGTTTGAAGCACTGTGCATACCATTGGATAATTGTAGCCGTCCTCCGTCCTTTTGAGTTGAATCTCTCTGTCCTAATCCTGCAAGATGAAATCGGTTCCCAATGCATTATGGTTCAGGCTGCCACTGGTGACATCATAATAGCCACTCACTGCTTCAGTGTGCTCATGGTTGTCGTCCGAATGAACAGAGTAGATAACTGAATCTCCAGTTGACAACTTCGACAGTCCACATCCATTCCATCTGCTCTCGCAGAAACCTAGAACTTCTATGCCATATCTTCTCATTTGTTTGGCTACCTGGGAAGCATTCATTTCTTCGTACATTGTATGTACATTCCACGTCCCCATTTCTTATTCTTGCTTTCATTTAGTGAAAACATATCGGTTGGCTGACTGGCTTCCCGGAGGCTTTCACCAGCTCGCGTCATTTCACCCCTAGGATTGCTGGTAAAAATAAGTTCATTTTTTTAAACATATTCTGTATTTTTTAAATATTTTTCTTGTCTGTTGAAGTTCATGTAGCAGTTTGACTGGTTTTGTTTGGTAGGGTTGTTTGCCTCACACCCAACCCTCCTTCTTTACCTGTGCTTGGGAACGGCTAGAAAACTGGCGAGATAATAAACTAAGCGATCTTTTGTGTCCTCATGAACAGATTCACGGCAAACCAATGAGCTACATCTGACATTGTCAGTTTAGTCGTCTACACACGACGTTATTTACTAGACAACCTCCCAATTTTGTTGACTTCATTTCACTAAAAGTGTCATCCAGTTGGCTTCGCCTCATTGTATTATATCTAACTGATATAATGGCACTCTATTCAAAATGTAATCGCTGGTGGTTTCAGAATCGAAAGGACGTTGTACTGGTTGGTAGTTAAGAAGAGTAGGATTAAACTAATACGGATTGTTTCGTTTATATTTCTCATATTGGAATATTGATGCTTTCACACTTTTTCTCGACCCCCATCACCTGAGAAACCATTCAGATATTCACTAAACTACGAATTTATTACAACCATCTGTTATTCAATGAGGATTTATATGTTAGCACAAGTAATATTTTTAATCAGTACATGAACTAATCGATACTACTCAGTTACGAGATTTCTTGGAATCTGACTAAATTGTCATTACCTCAGGTAATAATGGCCATATAAACTATTCATTCACCATGAAATAAACCGCAATGAAAACATCTCTTTAAAATACTGCTGTCATGTACGTGTGGCTGAGAACTATTATCATTCCTTGAAAGAAGTGCGATTCATAACAAAGAAAATAGAAACTTTGCTCCGGTAAATGAGTTCTAAACAATCAATTTCTAAGTAGAATAGATTTTGCCAGCTGAACAGTCAGATCATCAGTAAAAGCCATTTTTTACTTTCTGATAAATCATAACTCACTTTCACATTGTAGATTAACTTAGAAAGATTCATATTTAATGAACAATTGGACAATATACACAAATACTGAATAAACCGCTTTACACTGTGAATCAATACTTAATCCTATAGTGTTATACTTAACTAAGAATTCAGAGCCCACTTATTTTATATAAACACTACGTAATGATTGATAATGTAATATATACTTTTGTATATTCCTAATGAAGTTATAATTTCAGATAAACGTGTAAATTAAATGTCATATTTTAGTTCTTATAACCTATTTACATTTAGGTTTGGCTTTTAAGTATAAATCAAATAAGTGAAACGTACTTGAATGTCAGTAGTGTCTGAACGTGTAAGGGTTGAACTAGCTGAAATGCAGTCACCTTCAAAGAGCCTGTCAAGATCATGAGAATGTTGCGGACTTCTCCTGAGGAAAAAGAACAGAAAACAAATTACGCCAGTAGTGAACTGTAATACATTTAATTTAATAGTAATGAATAAAAGACTTTTAACACATAAAATCCACCAGACTCATTGAAAGTGTTTGTTAAAAAGTCAGTTTGTAGACTCAGATATGAGTGACACTGATAAAATCCATAGATTATACGTATTTAGTAGAAGATGATGGTAAAAAATATTTCGAGGCTTCAATTCTATATTCACTTTCAAGTTAAAACATACCACTTATCTGTTAAAATAGTGTTTTGTAGAGCCAGAGTAACGATAATGGCAAAAATTCTCACAGTTGTACTTAGGTTTACTATTCATTAGTCAATAGCTTCCTGATACTGTAATCGTTAACCCTGGCTTGTATGGTATAAGAACAGTTACTTTGAGAAACTGACAGCAACTGATTTATATCAGTGAGCACCCGATAAAAAATTACTATGGCACACGACTGAGTGTGGATTTGTGAGTGGGCGCTGCGGTGGTTACAAACTGAAACAGCTGTCTGATGTTCCTAGGTGAGATGACTTTAATTTATGTAGATATCTAGCGTTAATTTTCTTCCTTGTATGATATGTAGACTTCTTTAGACAGGAAAGCATTCGAAAAGCAAAATATCTCATTCTGGTTGCACCTGCTTGACTGATGACTGTGAATGAAACTAAACAGCGTTGTGTTGATCTAGTCGAAATCCAAGTCCATATTTACAGTTGTGCAATAAATGATTATACTGAATAAAGTAATTATAAAACGTAGAAAATTAATCTCCATGCTACTCTACTGATCGTGTATAGTGTGCGACGGTCAGTGATAATTCGCAGGGGTCTATATTGGGGGTAAGAAGAGTGCTTTTGAGCTTAAGACATAGTAAATTGGTCATCAACTCTCTAGAACACTAGGATATATTTTCACTAGCGAGCAAGTAATAATAATAATACTGGAAGTGGACATGTGGTGAGAGCAGGCCGTGAGAAAATATGTACAAGGCTGATTCAACAACCAATCACAGTAGACTTAACGTGGCAAAATATGATTCGCAGATAGAGAACTCTATTTTTCGAGGAATCCCGAAACAACCAATCAGAAGACTGCGTTTGTCTACTTGCATAAGCTATAATAATGTACAGGAAATATATATAAATACGTGTTGATTTTCGTAATAAAACGATCTGTTGCCTGGCCCTTGTCTTCTGTTGTTACAGACACATATAAAACGACAAATACATTTTTGACTTACTTTGAGAATATCTACTGTATAAAGCAATCGATAATATTGATTGTACTTTTTAAAATATAAAATATTTTGAAGTAATTTTTATGCATAAAGCCTGTTTCGCCGTTGAACTTCACTATTAAAATACTTTATTACCATATATTACTCCAATGTGTATCACTTTCTCAGTGCACATTAATTTGTCTCATGATGAGTTTCTGGGTAGAAAAAGCCAATTTTAAGTGAATGTGGAGGCTAATTAGTGGAATAGGGATCTGGTTTCAGTCAAAAATATAATTATCAACTGTTAATTTGCACGGATTTCATTAGTTTCCGGACTGATCTAACTTAGTAAATGAAAAATCCCCATATTGAAATCAAAACAAGATTTTGAGTGAACAATTGTTTTCGATAACTTCTTCTTCAGGCTCTACAGTTATAAATCCATGAATAATAGAGTACATATAGCCAGCCAATAAAGGCAAATGAAAATAATATCAGAAACTGTATTGGGTGTATGTGTAAGTTGAGATGATAGTCCATTAGTTAGCATAGTCAATTAAATGTGTATAGGGTGTTTAGTCAGAAAAATGTGATGCAGATTGCCAGAAATGGCGACATCAATGTGTATATATAAATTCAACTGCTCCTGTGAAGCTAGTTATATAGGTTGTACTCAGAGGTATTTATCTTTACGCACTCGTGAACATATTCCCGTTTGGTTTAGGAAAAGAGCAACCAAATCATTAAATAGTGCAATTCTGTCTCATCTAGTGGATAGCGAACACAGCATCAAAGTAGATGAGTCATTTACAGTTCTGTATCGAGTACCGAACAATCTCCCCAAAGGCACACAATTACGTCGTTCTAGCCATAGCTGAGGCTTTAGAAATGAATAGACAGAGACCAGACCTATGTGTACAGAAAAAACTTATTCACTCTCTTTGTCTACCCTGGCCCACTATAAGGTCACCCGGATCATAATTTTTCGTGCTATTAATATCATTATTATCATTTTGTGATATCATGTCTTTATTATCCATTTCTCCACCCAGTTTATTTCACCTCATTGTTACCCTTATTTTTGTCAACTTTTATGATTTTATACTAAGCCTACCAATTCTGTAGCATTTTTTTACAATTTAGTCTCTTTATTTTATCATTAGACATTATCGGTCAGCCCTCACATCCAGTGCCTCCTTTTTAACGTGTCTTTACATGTATTTTGTGGTTATCGCATTCCTCTCACCTCAAGTACACTTGTATTCTGTTAACTATAAAACACACTATATCACCCAATTATTCATTCACGCTGCATCACATTTTCTGACTAAACACCCTATACACATTTAATTGACTATGCTAACTAATGGACTATCATCTCAACTTACACATACACCCCAATACAGTTTCTGATATTATTTTCATTTGCCTTTATTGGCTGGCTATATGTACTCTATTATTCATGGATTTATAACTGTAGAGCCTGAAGAAGAAGTTATCGAAAACAATTGTTCACTCAAAATCTTGTTTTGATCTAACTTAAGTCAGCTCGTGATCAGTCCTGTAAAAAATATAACATTTGTGAAAAAAACAGCTCTCGATATTGTTCAAAATGTGTGTAATTCTATCAGAAGTTTGATATAGGTGAAATCTAAAAGTTTTCTGGTAGTTCCGCTTCACGAGGTACTCAAAACCTAAGATTAGTCCGACAGCATATATTCATTAACTAGATGATCTGTTGAAGTCATAATTACTCTGATATCATAACCGTTTTAGACTATATTAACTGTTTGCACAGAAGATTTATCTTTCGAAACAAAACGACCTCCTTGGTTTCCTTTATTATGAGCATACTGATAAATTTCAGCGAGCTACAATCAGAATGTGAGGTACAGTATCAGAAACATCAACTATGGATATTTCAAACAGTCATCTCACTTTAGACACCAATATATGCTGACAAATTATAATAGTGATATAAAGTTCACAAAAAAAACTTCAAATATGGCGCGTGGTTAACATGTGGAAAAGGTAGGTTTTTTAATCGGGATCTGTACATACTTAACGGAATGAATCAGTTGTACCAGTTTTCAGCTTCTACCAGTATACGAAAGAGACATACCTTCTAAGTTCAACCATGCACCACGACCGAGCAAATAAAAATAAAAATCACAAGCTCACGTACCATTGTAGGCAGAATAACGGGCAGTTACAACTGTACACAGTATTTTTACTATATAAAGTCAAAATTGTATCATATTTAGCACTTTAGACAATCGATACTTTGGCAGTTAATACCAAAATATTGCGATTTACTAGTGTCACTTAATGTAAAAAAAATCATTTCACTTGTTACTGGCAAAGCTTACGAATATTATATGCATGACAATTTTATGAGTAAATAACTTGTAAACATAGCCAGTCCCAGTGGCCCAATGGTCTACGAGGTCGCCTTGTAACCAGAAGGTCCTGGGTTCTAACCCCGGTGGATGCGTACTGATGAAGAGCCCCAAACTAGGACGAAACAGCTGTCCAGTACTTCCAGGTTTTCCGGTGGTTCTCTAACTGATGTCAGCTCATGATGAAATCCTCCAATCAATCAAACAAAATCCCTACAAAACCAATACTTGAAAATATTCGTATGATAGAGACAAAGTGCCATCAGTAAATACTATCAGTAGTTGTGTGTGCGATTTACTAACTCAATGAGGTACTACATGTTTAAGAAAAGCTTTAAAAATACACAATTAGTGTTATAGGAGAAATAAACCTACCTCCAGTACTGTTCATTATTCCATTTCGTTTGACAAGACTGGTTTGTCTGAAAGTTCTTGCTGGAAGTTTTGTGACTGCATGCTGTTAAGCAGTTACGGGTATTCTGACATTCATTACTGATAAGGAGAAGTTTGCTCAATGTGGGGAAAGTTGCGGATAAGTCTGGGGTTGATCTGACTGAGTCAATATTCTTAAGGTAGATGCGAGAATATTCAGAATCACTGGAAAAACTCTCACATCTGTCTGGTGATATTTGCTCTGAACATCGTGAAAATTGTCTGATATTGGAGTGAGACCGCTCTAACATAGATATTCTACCCTCTAAAAGTTTGATATATTCACGTGATGTCTCAAGGTTTCTGATAACTTGATCCTTAGTTGTCAGGATAGAGGACATCTTCTGATTAAATCGTTCTTTCTCAGCCTAGAAATATTATACAGAGATGGTGAAGAAGTTATTTGACTGAAGTGAGAAATTACAAGTGATTGAAAGTTCAAAAGCAGTTTTCTCAAAGGTAGTTACTAAATTTTTAGTGAGAAGAAATGAAAAAAATATCAGGCTGTTGCTTGATTGGATTATGAGCAAAAAACTGTTAACGTCTGAAATTTAATTAATAATAATGACATTTACTTCATTACTTTAAATGATGTCATCATGACAACATTCTCAACATAAGCATTTTTCTATTAAACCTCCAGTCATTCGAAGCAGTTAGCAGCTTTTAACTGTAGCCTACCAAAATAAAATTAAGGAAATATTTAAAACATTTAGTTCCCTTAATGAATTTAGATTAAGCAATAAGAAGACGTAATTTGTCTGAATCGTGTAATGTATTTGCGAAACACTCATTTCGAACAATCTGATCACACACGGACTTGTCATGAAATTAATAAAGAGTTAACAGGTGAGAAAATAGACTTAGGTCAAGTTAAAAGGACATATTCAAGGTCAAAATAACAATGAGGACCACTAAACCAAATAGCAGAGGTAATAGTACATCTGCTATGGTATCAAAACAAAATTTACCAAAGAAGGTTTAATGTGATAACGAATTGTTTTTGAACTCATAAAGGTGGTTTAAACTTTCTTATTACCAAGTCTTCCACAAACTTTAGGATACGCCCCAAACACGTTTTATAGATAGGTTTAAAAGATCTGTTAACGTCAATTTTATGTCCTGTCTCTATATTATGTTTCGCAATAGAAGACCTAGGTCTCCTATTCTCACCATTAATAGGTTCTGAAGGTTCCATTTGTTTCTGAAGGCATTTAGGAATATGCTCTGAAGTCCTTACTTGCAGAGGTCGAGAACATAGACAAGGACCGAACGCTGCTGTTAAAAAGATTTTTTATGCAGCTAATATCATAATAACTGAGAATGTGAAGCCAATATATCTATCTAAGCCCTTCGAACATGCGAAAAATGATGGCACATCCCACTGTATTTATCAATCTGAATGTACGTGTGGACACACATATATAGGGAGGACTCCTCGACCAACGGTATGCAACTAGTCATCTCAGTCAATCACTCAGTGGTAATTAGTTTTAAACATTAAGACTACTCTTAGCTGCACTAAAAATCAATCAAATAAAAGCGTTTTGTGATTTGGTAGTTAAGTACTGATTTCTCAAAAACGGTGTATAATTTGACAACCTGATTAGTATGCGTAAAGCCATTTTAATACTACTAATCTTGCTTTACGCTTATTATATAATAGTCGTTCATATTTCCATCCCGGCCGATAAGTGCTATCTTGTCGTGATGGTCGGGCTTGAATACCGTAATGACCCAACATGCTAAACTGACTGGGACTCTGTCCCTGCAGGTCCTACCATTTCAGGAAGGTTGTTGGATAGCGGTTAAACTAAAAGCAGTTACCATGGGGTACATGGGCTCCAGTATCCAATCGGATCGAATGGCGTATGGACCCATATGGGTCACCGGCGACCATGGGAATGCAGCTCCTGACGCTGCTCCTCTGCCTTGCGGATTAAACTCCAAGTCAAAGGCTCGGGGGTGGTCCCTTAATAAAACCACTTGCTTCGGTCTGGGCGCCCGGGCAGTATCTCAGCCCTCACACAATGAATCAAATGAAGCAACAAACAATCAGTGAAACTTATCGCGTGCTATTACACGTGTTGCAATTTCCTTCTTTCTTCCCTTCCCGATGATAGTTAACGAATACTGTTTGAACTTGTTAAGCATAACTGTTTTCCTTCCAGATGAAGTTCTTTATCCGTTCTCTACTTATAAATATATTTCTTTTCTTTCTTTTTTGATCTATGTCGTTTTATTATTATTGTGTGGCGCATCATTCTTGGTGCCATATTGTACCAAGTTTTTATGCGTTTAAATAAACAAATACCATACGTACCGCTTATTGATTATATTTGTCTAGAAATCACCGATAGGCTATTAGACTTAGGAATCCCCTTGTGTAGCCCCAAAGAATTACTTTTTAAATGCACGATGAATGTTCACTTTTTCTTCAATAATTCATACTATCGACAAGTAATGGAATAGCTATGGGTTCACCATTAGGCCCAATATTAGCTGACTTCTCTCTTGCAAAACATGAAAACGGGAAATTGAATAACATCATCAAGGAGTTTGATATGTATTACCGATATGTCGATGAAACATTTATCTTAGCTGATGAGAATGTTAACATAGATGAATTGTTGCTGAAATTCAACAACATCCATCCTTCGCTTACCTTTACTTGTGAAAAGCAGCAGGAGGATAAACTACATTTTCTTGATGTCTTGCTAAGTAGGAGAGAAGATGGGTCACTTGGGAGAAACGTGCACAGGAAATGCACATTCACAGGGCAATACACACACTTCCTTAGTTACGTGCCCATTAAATATAAAAGGAATGTTGTAAAATGTCTCGCGAGCAGAGAAAAAAAGATATGTACGGATGACTTCTTACAAAAGGAATTTGAATATATTCACGGTTCCTTGACGGAGATGGGCTATCCGAGTAGTTTCATGAAGAAACATATGAAAACATCAGAGAAAAAACCTGAGAAACTGACTGCACATAAGAAACCTCTACTTATTAAGTTACAATTTAGTGGTGACAGATCAAGTGAGAATCACCTCGCCAGATACTAGCTTGCTAGGCTACTAGCTTACTAGTTTTCTAGCCGGTCCCAAGCCCGGGTAAAGAGGGAGGGTTGGGGCGTGGTGCTAGCAACTCCACCCCTGTAAAACAACCAAATCGCTACAGAAACTTCAACGAATAAATATATTAAAAATTCTAAAAACATAAGCAATAGCCTTACTTTTCGCTGGAATCGGGGAAGTGAAATGACGCAGGCTGGTGAAAGCCTTCGGGAAGCCAGTCAGCCGATGTGCCTTCTTTCGATGAAAGCAAAAGTAAGGATGGGTACCTGGAATGTTCGTACAATGTACGAAACTGGAAAGGCTGCCCAGATAGCCGCTGAAATGAGAAGGTACAGAATAGAAGTGTTGGGAATCTGCGAAAGCAGATGGAACGGAACTGGAAGGTGCCAACTACCTACTGGAGAGACAGTAATCTATTCCGGCCACCCAGAGGACAACCATGAGCACACCGAGGGAGTGGCCATCATGATGTCACCAACAGCAACCAAAGCTCTCATGCAGTGGGAACCAATCTCCTCCAGGATAATGACAGCCAGGTTCAACTCAAAAGGAAGGAAAGTTACAGTCATTCAATGCTATGCGCCTACAAACGTCTCAGAACAAGAGAAGAAGGAGGCGTTCTACAGACAACTACAAGCAATAATGGACAACGTCCCAAATGGCGATATCAAAATCCTGATGGGCGACATGAATGCGAAGCTGGGAGGAGACAACACAGGAAGAGAACTCACCATGGGTCGTGAGGCCCTCGGCGAAATGAACGACAATGGTGAACTCTTCTCAGACTTCTGCGCCTTCAATGATTTGGTGATTGGTGGTAGTGTGTTCAAACACAAGGATATACACAAGACGACATGGATTTCACCAGATGGAAACACCAAAAACCAAATAGACTTCATCTCAATTTCAAGAAAGTGGAGACGGAGCCTACTGGACACAAGGTCAAGGAGAGGAGCAGATGTGGGTTCAGACCACTATCTAGTACAAGGGACTTTCAAGGTGAAACTAAAAGCCTCGAGGATAGCTGGGGATAGGCCACAATGCAAGTTCAACACTCAGAAACTGAAGGACACAACCACAAAGGACACTTTCACTGCAACTGTCAGAGCAAAGCAGGAAACACTACGCGACATCACTGAAGAATCATGCGTGGAAGAACATTGGAAGTCTCTGAAGGCGATTCTCAACGAAACGTGTTCAACGGTTCTAGGAAGAAAGAAGAGACAAGACAAGGAATGGCTCTCAACGGACACTTGGAAATTAATAGAAGAGAGGAGAATGGTGAAAGAGAAAATGATTCAATGCAAGGACGGACAGGAGAAGGAGACGCTGAGCTCAACTTACACAGCACTGGACAAAGAAGTGAAGAAGAGTGCTAGGAAGGACAAAAGACGATTCTACGACAACCTGGCCACTGAAGCTGAGAAGGCAGCAGGCAAAAGGGACCTGAGGACACTATATCAGATAACCAAATCTCTATCCGGGAAGAGATCAACACAAGCGAAACCTATAAAAGACAGCCAAGGGAACCCAATTACCAAGGAAGAAAAACAGATTAAACAATGGGCGGATCACTTCAAAGGACTCTTGAACCGACCATCACCTGCAACCCGTCCAGAAATACCAACAACAGCGCGCACACAACTGCAAGTTGACACCAATCCTCCAACGAGAGCTGAAGTCTTGAATGCAATCAAGCTTCTGAAAGCTGGAAAAGCAGCTGGACCAGATGGAATACCCCCTGAAGCACTGAAAGCGACCCAGAGACTACAGCAGACATGCTGACTCCATTATTGCAAAAGGTCTGGAAGGAGGGAAAGGTGCCTACTGACTGGAGGAAAGGTTACCTCGTGAAACTACCAAAGAAGGGCGACTTACGCCTCACTCTGCAAGAACTGGCGAGGAATCATGCTCCTGTCGACGCCAAGTAAAATCCTGAGTCGCATCATCCTGGAGAGATTAAAGGACGCACTGGATACAGAACTCCGACCAGAACAAGCTGGATTCAGGAAAGTCAGGCAAATCATGTACTGACCAAATTGCAACTCTACGCATCATCATCACAGAACAAAGCATGGAATGGCAATCAAACCTCTACCTCAACTTTATAGACTTTGAGAAGGCCTTTGACAGACAGCGTTGACCGCGAAGTAATTTGGAAACTACTCGAGTACTACGGCGTACAGGCCCAAATATTCATCAACCTTATTCAACAGCTATGTACGACAGCGGAACATGTCAAGTGATCCACAACGGGAAACTCAGCGAGGCGTTTGGAGTAAACACAG